AATCCTTTTTGTAGAATTTAATATTTACTAAATTTCCTAAACAATTCTCATAATGCATTCAAACCACATTTTTGCTTCATTACTGTGTCTTCTTTCATCATAGCAAACTGATTCTAATATCATACAAATAAAATAATGTGCGCAATGAGGTACTCCCCCACGAGGCACTGAAGTACGGGGTCCCCACCATATTTGTTGATGCACAATAGCATATCAAAAATTTGCTAAGATGTCAACCGTGTGTGGTGTCGGATCCCACAACTTTGAAAAATTCTCAATAACGTATTAGAAAAAATGGGCTGGGATGTTCACCATGATATGTGACGGGTCTCCAATTTCGACACATTCATAAAAGCGTATCCAAAATTTGCTGGGATGTTCACCATGGTGTTTTGAATCGAAATCACAGGAGATATATTTATTATTATATCCAATATAAGATTTACAGTGCTTGACCTTGAATTACTTCGCGTGCCCCGTGTTACACTACTCTCGGTCTTTTCCCAAACTTTTCTCCCAATTATGTCACATTTATTGCTGATGTTTCAGTGACATGATTCACATAACGGTTACCTATTGCATCAAATTCAAAACCGAAAAAATGTCGGTTAGGGTGCTTCTGGTGGTTTTATTTACTGTGCTATCAATACCAGGTTGGATTTTATCGATATTTCAGTCCCATTCGTTGAAATAAAAAATTGCTCCACTTGCCGCAACCGCATCAAGTATGGTTTTATCGAAACACTCTATCTAGCCATTTGCTCTAGCCGTAAGATGGTTACTGCCAACCATTCTCTGTTCTTCTAAAAACTCTATTCACTCTCAAGTCATAATTTTCTAGAACATATCTTTCTCTTCTTCGATAAGACCCGAATCTGAAATTTCTCATTTTTGTAGTTTCTGGATCTTCATGTCGAACTTTAGCTAACCGGTATCAAGTGGCGTCAGTAACGTAATTTTTTTGACAACTGAAATAGCTTCTTGAGAGTATCCACACTATCATCTTTTGTTTTGGATACAGTAAGAAGATAATCCAAGTAAATGATGATATTTTCGAATGCCACGTTGTCAAATAGACTATACTTTGAAAAAATGAAGGTGCGTTGGCTGAACCGAAAGGGCATCTCTTGTATTGGAAATGACTATTCGGGGGGGGTTTGAACTGATTCTGGATGCATAGGTATTTGGTGATAGCCTGATGTAAAATGTAAACTGCTGAAATATTTGCAGTTTCGTAATCTATCAATTAGATCTTCTATTCTTGGTAATAAAAACTTATCTTTAACCGTTATTGCATTAAGTGTCCTATAATCAACAAACGTTTCTCGTCTGAATTTTTTTTTATACAAAAAGAACTGGGCTAGCATAAGGTAACCGACTTTCTTGAATAATATTTGCCTTTATCAACTTACAGATGATAGTATTCAATGTCGCTTTTTCCACTTCGGCCATCCTATACGAATTTCTAGAGATATGTAGGTTTGTCAGACGTTAAATTTATTTTTATCGAACTTCTTGTTTTATTCTTGTTTGTAGTCCAGCATAGGCTTGCCGCCGACATAATGATGTATCAATATTGAGGACTTTCAGTTCATTGTGAATAATTTTATAATATGATTCTGCTGATCCACTAGACATGTCCACAAATCTCATGAATCGCTCCTCTGCAAACTCACATTTTCCAATATATCTGAATGATAAAGACATATGTTCCATTTTGGATATATCTTGGGTAGAATCAATAATTAAAGTAAAATAGTTGGCTTTCTTCATATCGCAAATATTATTTTTAAGTACATGTTGGCTTAACAGGTGCAAATTTTTTTTTTGGATGGTACTGATTGTATATTATAATGAATCTGAAGCCGGCCTGACCGATGTCCCAGTCAGCAAACGCATGTCTCATCGCGAAACAGCGCGAAAGGTGTGAATGACTCCCGAAATCCGTAGAGAGATCCGGAGCGTTCGTTGACGATATAAAAAGGTCGCTCTCCGTCCCGAGCAGTAGTCTGTACTTAGAAAGTGAATCGTGCGTTTAAAGAAAGGAATCTAACTGTGAAGATAAATTAAGCGTTAGTTACTAAGTGTTGTATATAAAATAGTTGTGATAGTGAAATATTGTTAAAAATAAATTTGTTTAAGACAGTTAATTCGTTATAATTGGTGATCAGATCTTGGTTTAGTCATCGGATGGAAGAAAAGTAATCGAAGACCATCGTGGCAGGAGGTAGCAGGTTATTCGCCAGTGGTCAAGTCCTACTGGGCACAATGGAACTCCCTTACTTTGGAAAACGGGGTTCTGAAGCGGGTGTTGGAGTCTGAAGACGGTGCAGAAGAAAGGTGCCAGACAGTGGTACCCCGGAGCAGACGACGGGAGGTGCTCAAAGAAACCCATGATGGAGTCACTGGAGGACATCTGGGAGTAACGAACACCCTCCAGAAAGTGAGACAACGGTTTTACTGGGTTAATTGTCAAACCGACGTCAAGAACTGGTGCAGAAAGTGTGCCGTATGCGCTGCCAGTAACGGACCTAGGATACGACCGAAAGCTCCAATGCGCCAGTTTAACGTGGGTAGTCCTTTCGAGAGAATCGCCATCGCTATCGCCGGCCCGTTCCCAGAGTCCCACCATGGTAACAAATACATCCTGGTAGCCATGGACTACTTCAGCAAGTGGGCAGAAGCCTATGCCCTGCCCAACCAGGAAGCCTTTACCGTCGCTGACGTCCTGGTAAAGGAATGGATATGTCGATTCGGTGTCCCATTGGAGCTGCATTCGGACCAGGGCAGAAATTTTGAGTCCAACCTGTTCCAAGAAATATGTAAACTGTTGGACATTCGAAAGACCAGAACCACAGCCTTACATCCACAGTCCGATGGAATGGTGGAACGAATGAATAAGACTATAAACCGCCACTTGTCTAAGGTAGTCTCTGATCATCAAAAAGACTGGAACCAAACCTCCACCTGTTCCTGCTGGCTTATCGTTCGGCAGTGTACGAGTCAACCGGTCAAACCCCTGCCAGTATTATAATGCGACGAGAGCTGCGGCTTCCTTGCTACCTAAAATTTGGAACGTCTCCAGAACAAGACACTGCGGGGGAAGACTATGTCAGCAAGCTTCGGCAGAGAATGGACGACATTCATGAACGAATCCGTTAGTTACGGAAATAGCCTACAATAGACTTTGAAAGAATTAATATAGACATTTTAAAAATTCCAACAAAAAATTATGTTCTCACAATCAGAGATGAACTTACAAAATTCACTCAAGCATATCCTATATCTGATAAAACAGCGCAAAGTCAATTATAAACACCCTATTACTATATTTCCAACATTATGGAACACCACTAAGAATACATGCCAGTTCAGGAAAATAATTCACTTATTAAAAGACTCATGTTACTCTACGAGGTCCGACTAATAAATAACGAGACTGGTTACGAAAAAGGGTTTTATTATAAAAATCATTCTACATTCGAATGCTTCCTTCAATATACTCCCTTCCCCTCGCCACACACCTTTCGATACGTTTTTTCCATTTATCGAAGCAGTGCTGGAAGTTTTCTTTGGTGAGTGCCTTTAGGAGTTCTGCCGTTTTTTGCTTTACCGCTACCATCGACTCAAATCTGTTCCTTTCAGAGCAGATTTTATCTTCAGAAACGAAAAAAGGTCGTATGGTGCCAATTCGTTTCATACCGCTACTGCACAAACACTTTAATAGTAACGGAAACGTATTTTGGTACGTGAATAGAAAAGATTTCCAGATACCCAACGCACTGATCATTTTTCCCAACTCTTCTAGGGAACCCTCTAGGCGCTCAGTCTCGTTATTTAATAGCCAAACCTTGTATAATATTAAACTAACATTTTCTAGAGTTGACCACCCACAATCGTACGGTTCACTTGAGAGATCACCCACTTTCTATTTTACCCTATGCTGTTATATGTTATAACAACAGTCTAAATAAAACCCATGGATTTAGTCCTTATGAACTAATATTCGGACATACATCCGGTAGACACCAGAAATCCGGTAGAAACAGAAAAAAAGCTTATCACATTTGAAACATTTAATATTTTAAATGTAGACAATCTCAATATTGCTCATCATAAATTAGATCAATTAGATAAAATTATAAATGAACCATTCGTAAACCGACATGTTTCATGATTTACTGTTTTCACAATTGTAATAATTGTAACATTATTAATACTTATTATTGACAAGGTGATGAACAAATTTGGACAGCAACCCAGACGTCTTCAGTTATAAATCAATTCATAAATAATTTTTTTTAAAACTTTTTGCCATGAATTCTCATGAGAATGATAAATATAGCTATGTCACTTGCACGGTCTTCACGAATCTAACGACACGTTGTTTTCTAAAATAACTCAAGCTGTTTGGGTCGTAGCGCGTACTATGGAAATTGTCATACATACATACTTACATATATGCGTATATACATACACTTGAAAAGCATTACTCTCCCGCTGATTCAGTCAGGTGAAAAATATGTAGCTTTTTCTGTTTTTTCTTTCCGGACGGGGGGTGCAATTGATAGAATTTACAAAAATTGTTTGATTTTTCGGACCAACCGGGCATTTTTTCGTAAGATGTTTATACTTCTAACTACTTGGGCACTTGGGTAAAAATGCGGTTTACAGTAATTAATGTATTATGGATGAATGAAGGTATCGCAATGACCCCTAATATTTACTTTGCAGATGTATTCTACTGCTCTTTTTTTGTGATAGAAACTATTTGCAACATTCCCAGAATGATCATCAAATTCCCACGAATTTTACAGTCCATATACTTCTATGGTGTGAGTTTCAAATCAGATTTTCAAGAACAATTGAGTACAACAACGCATTCATGGTTTAGCCTACACCACTGATGAGATCTAAGGCAGATCGAAATAGCGCTGTTTGGTGATGGATCACAAATGCCTAATTTTTGGACTCTGGACAACTAATGAAATACTGTTCAGTTCATTTTATCAAAACTTTATTGAACATTCAACACAATTCACAACTTGAACAAATTTAAGAACTATCAGTCTTCTTAGAATTGAACAAGTGTTGAATCACAGACATCAGACACATGAACATATGGTATGCACCACAGCAAAAGCTTAAAAGAAACAATAAAGAACAAATTCGATTACTACAAACGATGTATTTACTTTTATACATGAAAATAATTCGGAATTATTCAGAAAAACTGACACAACACAAAATGTAAACCAATTACCATATTAACCTTTGCAATTCTTCGTAGTCAGCCCAAGGGATGGGTCTGTAGAAAAAGCGATAGAATACAAAGATATTCATCATCAAGTTTGTAATAAGTTCAGCTATCAAAAAGAGTGAGATGTTGCTAGTATATTCCATTTTTAATTTGAAGATAATGTAAGGGATTAAAAAATATCTCACGTCTACGAGCTTTTGGGTTACAAGCACTGCTGCAAGACATGGTATGTACATTATGAGAAAGCTTATATCGTGTTTGTTGTACAAATACTTTACCATAACATATAAAGCCCACATATAAATAGGAATCATAAAATATCGGAAATATATCTTTGGGCCATACAATCTGTTCCATACATAAAATGTGTAGTGTCTGTTGTCCGCTAACAAGTATGGATGAACCAAAGTATTTGAGAATACAATTATTGCCATTAATATTGCAATTGATACAACTTTCTTTTTATGACTGATTGCACATCGTAGAAAGCCATATAACTCAAACAGAAAGACTGGCCAAGAAAAAACTAAACAAAACAGAGAAAAGTAAAACAACTGTGGAATATGAAATGTTGCTTCGTGCGCTGATTTGTCTCCCACAACAATGCTTCCATTAAACTTCATAAACAGCCCAAATGTAATCAGACAGGAGGAATATGACATAATATCCAACCAAAATGTAAGGGGAGTCAAGTGAATGAGGGTTGGCACTTGTAAAGTCAGTTCTCTAGCAAAACGTCGCACACTCTAGAAAAGTAAATCATTAATATATACCATCTCATGTTCTTGTTTAATGTAAAAATTATATATTTCTGACCTCATTGATCAGAAAATGAAGATTAAGGGAATTGGAAAGATACTGAACTGTTCTGAAAAATTATTCACCTACAGGATTACCAGATTATGTTTAATAAAACTAATGTACTTGTATTATAATCGCGGATTATTTATTCGATTGAACGAAACTCATTCGTTCTTCAACAACACCGTACTTGTTAACTAGTACAAAAAACCTATAAGGTCTGGTGGGTATATGAATTACTGGTCTCACCATAGATAATCTATCAAAGTCCATTTGGTCAAACAAATGAAACAACGCGTTAACATTTCTGACCACCACCACCTTCCACCAAAAAAATTTTGATATCCTCCTCGAACTCGTTTTGCAGAATTCATATCCACTCTCCCTATTAAACGAGATTTTATTTAATACGTCTCCAATAGAAAACTTGAATCCACCCATTCTTGAAAATAATAATAATAGCAATATTAACATCTATAACAATCATTCATAAATTGTCAACAATTTTATTACATGTCTACAGGTAGGGTCATGCAATTGACTTTGATTCTGTCAAAATTTTAGCTGGAGAAAAGAATGTTATGACCAATCAGAAACGCGTACAGCTGGAAATTCAAACCAGTAGATGAACAAGCCGGGTAGGAGCTGTCTTCGAGGTAGCGCCTCGCTGGTAAGTGTTTCAGAAAAAGACTAGTGAGTGGAAGAGAGAAACGTGTGACATAATCGTTGCAGAGAAGGATGGAATGAGTACCGAAAAGATTCAAGGAGCCTAATTGGGACACCCCTATACTCCTCGGGCCCCCTTGAGACTCTGCATCACCCATCGGTCCACTTGGGACTTCGCCTCATCTCTCGGGCCCCCTTACTGCGTACCAGTCACGCGGTCCTAGTTAAAAAAAGTTTTTCGGTATGCGAATCGAACCCAGGACGTCGGCATGATAGACGTTGTCCTTAGCCTCGACACCAACGTGGATTATTGACTTTTTTTTTTATTTATACACTGTTCTACAGGTTACACCCAACTACAGAACAGGGATATAAGTCAAATCACAATACAATATAATTACAATAAGTTTCAAGGTGAAAACAATCCATACAGAATTAGCTGAAGTGAACAGACCTAATCTCAGAGATGGAACAGTAAAAAGTTTCGAGCTGACGACTTGCTGAGTGAATGTTTCAGAATATTTGTATCTGGTGTTGGCAGATAAAAAGGATTAACCACTCTAGAGGTTGGTCTAGGTTCATTGAAATTAAGTTTTTGCAGAATATGTGGGTCAATAATTGAATTATCAATCAATTAAAAAAAAATTGTGGAGTCACAATCACGACGGCAATTCAAGCTATTCATAGCATATCTAACTAACAATGCATCATTAATGCAATTATGCAATTATGAATGCATATTCTAATTTTGATCTGACGAAAGCATAGTATGAGGTTTCCGATGTAGATGGATCCAAGAAATCTCTGGAAATTCGTGCACTAAATCCATACATTCTGTTTGCAGCAGACAAAGTGGCTTCAATGTACAGTACAAAGGAAAGTTCTGTGTCGAAGGTAATACTTAGATCGGTGAATGTGAGAGGCCTTTAAAGTGGAATATCTTTTATTGAATATTGATATGAAAATGGTCGATTTTTCAGTGTGTACTTCATTACTTTTAATTTACTCGCGTTTAAAGGGAGATTGTTGCGATAACACCATTGCTTAACATATTTCAGATTGGGGTAGAGTTGAAGACAGCCCTCAATGCCATTGATCTCACAGTATAATTTCAGGTCATCCGCATATATCAAACAGTTGATGTCAATGAACTCAACTATGTCGTTTATGAAGGCGTTGAAGAGACCTAGGTTGCTTCCTTGTGGAACACCCGAGGTAGCTGCATATTCCACAGACTTGAAGCCATTGAATATAACATACTGACGCCTGTCAGTGAAATTTCGATAGCAGTAATCCGTGATCAAGTCTGTCGAACGCCTTGAAGAAGTCCGTATATATGACATCAGTGTGGGATCGCCTATCAATGGTTTCAGAAATATATTGGGTAACATTTGAAAAGGTTGGTGATTGTCGAGCAACCTTTCATAAAACCATGTTGAAGTGCTGTAATTTGATTGCTCCAATGAGAATATAACCTGCTATAGATAAGGATTTCAAACACTTTGGCGAAGTTGCATATTATTGATATGGGTCTATAATTACCGACATAAAACTTGTCCCCTTTTTTATAAATTTGCCGAACTTTAGATAATTTCCATAGATCTGAGATGCCACTAGTTTTGATGCAGATATTTATTAATATTGTCAATAGACGAGCCAAAACATATGCACAATCTCTGACAATCAGTGCAGGGATGCAACACTTCATTTTCTTGGAAGTAATGAATGATCAATACTTGTGAATATGGATGGTCATCGCTCAATTCGATTGGAGAGCTGGTGATATATGATTTTGAGAAAAAATCAGAAAAGTTTTCAAGAATATCTAAAGGAGTATCTAGAGATTGTCTTTCGTAGGACATTCTGTCCGAAATGCTGGTAGACCTTTTTTTGTTATTTATATATTCCCAAAATTTATTTGGACTGTCTGATGTCATTTTCAACGGATTTGACAAATTTTTTGTACGCGTTGTCCACGTCCTACTTTATCTTTGCTCTCAGACGCACAAATTGGTCCCGGGCAACAACATCACCACTGCTTTTGAATAGACGCCAATACTTAGCCTTTAGTAGACGTATTTACTGAATAATTTCATTGTCGAACCACGGCGGGTATTTTCGCTTGAAGTTACCAGTTCGTAAGGGTACACATTGATCCAGTATGTTAAACGAGTTTTTCGTAAAAATAAGTTCAATAAGGTCCAGTTAATACTTGTGATAAGTTCGTACATACGCGGAAAGTTTGCTTTTCTGAAGTTGTATTCATTATTATAAGAGGTGGGGAAGTTTCTTTTCAAATTACGTGTAATATTCGATTTGCAGTATATATCAGGGTGAGTATTCTCACATAATTATTGTAAATAAAGTTATACCTACTGTGACAAATTGCTAGATTCCAAAAAATTATTCAATAAATTATTTATCGCGTTTAGTTGGTCACCCTGTAAAAACGAAGCATACGAAGGGATATTGAAGTCACTCGTGATGAAAATGCTATTGTTATAGGCAACTTGGATGTTGGTAAGAGTTTCGAGAAGGATAGTGTACATATCGTTTGACAAAGAGGGAGGGACATAACATTGATCATAAATAACGAATTCGAATCAGAAAGTATTTTCACTATAACAATGCCTACAGAGACTAATATTTGAGAAATGAGTGGAGTTAAATCAATCCGCGAGGAGACGAACGAATCAGCAACTGCAATTCTTATTGCAGTTGATGGAGGAGCTCTTGCTTCTCCACCTTGTGAGCAATTGCATTCTGAGAATTTTTTATCGGAGCGGTATACCTCATAGCAATTAGGGAATATCTCTTCATTTCTGACCACGGGTATTTTGATAATAAAATGTTGCGTAGTTCTCATTTCATAGGGTAGAATCATGGGAGGACGCAGAATGATGTAAAGCCTCATGAGATGAGGGTGTTTACTACAGACAGTCAAGCACATTATTTTTTAATTTTTATATTACAGTTTGGTAAGCAGTACATTTTTCCTTTTCCCACGCTGCATGATCCGTTGAAATATTTTCCTCGCCACAGTTCAACACAGTTGGTGCATTTACGTATTTGCGATTTGCATGCCTTAACTTCATGATTGTCACCACACAGTGGACAGGTAAGCTGCTTATTATAATTTCTTGAAAAATGATAGAATTCGTTACATGTTAAGCATCGAGGAATCTCAATGGCATCTAAGACGCTGCAACTACCAACGCCAATGAACAGATTATCGAATTTCATTATTCTATCATAACAGTATCTATCAGTTCGAATCACAGCTTGAAAAATACCGTTTCCGCCAGGAAACGACTGAGTCGTCTCCTCAAGAGCGGAGTACCTTATGAAACCACCTTGCACCAAATTCTTGAGCGGCGTACGCAGACTCTATCTATGTGGGGGAACAAACCCACCTTGAGCAGGTTAGTGAACGTTTACGCTCAAATGAGGATTTACCGAAATCAGAGGCGAAATAGCCCTGCACGGTTGAATCTAAGACATCGTCAGGTGTACCTGATGTGCAAAAACCCTCATATGGGAAGGTTGTCGCGGGCATCAAGGTGGGAATCTTGCACCTTGATTATCCGACTACCTCATTAACGGAACCAGTTGGAATCTTTTCAGGGGGCTATTTTGTCGGCTATGGAGGTTATTCCAGATGGTGGGCCGCAGGTACAATTCCAGAGCTGCGTCTTTCGGCCTGGATGGTTACAGGTCGTCTGTGAGGATCAAGTTAGCGCCGACTGGCTTGCGGGTGTAGTTAATACCCTGCAACCGTGGGAGGGCGCTTCCCTGAAATGTGTCACAGGGGATCAACTTTCGAAGCCACACATCTGTGTTGCTTACCTACCTGACGGAGGCAGTCATAGACTGACCTCCGAACAGGTCCTCACTAGATTGAGGAAAATGAACCATGGTTTGTCACCTTTGGGGTGAACGATCCTCCACAAGGAAAAGTCAGGCCGTGGTCAAACATGGACCTTCGCTGTAGACGATGGATCCATGGCCGTGCTGATGAGGACGGGTTTCAGACCACATTTTGCTTTTGGGGAGGTCTTATTCCGCCCTAAAACCCGGGCACCCTCCCAGCAGTAAACTACTCAAACCAGTCACACTAGTGCACCCGTTAGAGTGAATAAAGCGGGGCTGAGTGGAAATCCACCTATGGGGAGGAGTTCAACCAAACCTCCGCCCAAACATAGGGGTAAACCACCGGCTCACACCCAGTCCAAGGCCGGGAAAACAGGTGTTTCTCAGAAGACGAAGACGGCCAACGTCTCGTCGAGTAATCTGGGAAAAAAGGCTGGACGTGGCTCTCTGAAAGCGAAGACGAAAATCGTCTCGTCAAAGAAATCCAATAAATCAGCAGGCCACTCAGAGACAGCAGGTGTCTTCACCTCATCATCTGAGCCTACACATCACTCGATCCCGGGAGAGGAGGGTGGAGGTGTCCTTAAGGACACCTAGTAAGTGCCATGCATGGCCGTTAAAATAAAATTTAAAATTTCAAATCCTCTAAATGTTATTTCTGAATAAAGTTTATATATATATTTTCTTTAAACCATAAAAATTTTAATGTGTGACACTTTTCTACATAATGAAAAGGACTTTTTTGTGTTTCTCAGTGAAATTTTCGACTTTTTAATATAACCTCAAGTTAGTAAGTACTTTTTATCTATTGTTTTACAATTTTGCTTCAATGTTATCAATTTATTGTAGATGTCTTGATAAAGGGAATAAACATTCTCGAAAGCTCGACCATATAACAAAGAGTATTCTTTAAACAACAGCCCAGCAATTTTTGACTGCATCCCCAACATTATTCCGTATTTCTCCTTAACTAGTCAGTCAAGACTACCCATCGCTTTATAAATTCTAGACATGGGGTTCTTCATAAACATCCGACAGCAGTTTGGTCTACAAACAGTAACACACATGAAAACATGGGCAAAAACGAACACCAAGTTGGCATCGATGAAAAACAGAAAGCTGTTCTTGCTGAAATGTAGAAAGTACCACATATTTCCAAATCACGTAACGAATGGCATTGGAAACGTGACAACATTATTACACCATCGAGGAGGAACAACTGGACGATCCGTGCAGAGTTTCAATCACAGGTTGAGGAAAAATATTTTAAACTTAGAAATTAAAATCACCTTCAGTGAGCTCATAAATTTAGAAAGAGTTTTAAATGACCTTAAGCGAATATTATCTGCCACGTTGCCGGTTTCCACTTTTGAAGAATATGAACGAAGGCTTACCATAAAATATAATACACTTTTCCATAAAATAAAACATAAAAACATAATTAAATTTAACAATCTCCAGAACAATGAATTTCTCTCTATTAAAATACAAGAAAAATGGATAAAGAACCTTACAAACGTTGAAATACCTTCGGACATTAAACGTTTTCTGGCTCTGGGTCCAAAATTTGGAATTTGTCCTTTAACCAAAGAAATTAAACTTTCTAACCTGCTTGCAGATTTAGAAAATATACTTTTCAATATTGATAAAAACTTTCAAGATATCTATCGTGCTCAATGCACAAATATTATTACAAATTTCCTCCATAAAAATTCAGATAATTACCATTTTTTAAGAAAAACTTTTGATCAATGTAAATCTTTTTTAAAACAACATCCTGAGATCTATGTAGTAAGAAGTGATAAAGGCAATGTGACGGTCATAATGTTCAAAGAGGACTACTCTACTAAAAGTTTTGAATTACTTAGTGATATTAAATATTATAAAAAGTTAAATCATAATCCAGTCAGCACTTTACAGCAAAAAGCTAACAAAATAGTTTCTAGGATTAAGAAGGATAAATTGGTGGATGAAAACACAGCCAAAAAGCTGACTATCTATAATGCAGTAATTNTGTTCAGACCATAGATATATTCTTTTCAATATTGAAACAGGTCTAAGACCAGTAGTGGAATATCGTGACTCAAAATCTACTGACTGGAGGGGGTATAAAAACTCCCTCCAATCGTACTTTGAGGACGGATTCAGTACTATTCACAGTTGTAATGATATGGATACAGTAGCGATGCAATTTCGCGAAGCAGTGATCTCATCCTATCATGAGAACTGACTCATTAGCTCAATTGAGCTAATGAGTCAGTTAACTGGGAGCTTTATAAAACCACTCTAACGTCATACAACAAGGAACTTAAAAAGTCAAAACGGGAGTCCTGGAGAAAGTTCTGTGAGAGTATTTCTGATTTACCTCGCAGCGCAAGAATTCACAAGATTCTCTCTAGAGAACCGACTGCTGAAATTGGGTCGCTTGAACGACCGGATGGAACATTTACGACCTCCAGTAAAGAAACGTTAGAGCTTTTGATAGAAAACCACTTTCCTGGAAATCTGACTCTTGAAAACAACCGACCGCCCGTCTTCGAGGGCGCTAAACGCCCAAAAAAGAACTACTGGTACGTCGCAAAAAAGGTTATCACAGCACCGGCAGTTGAATGGGCTATCAAGTCTTTTCAGCTCTTCAAATCTCCCGGAGAGGATGGTATATTTCCAGCTCTTCTTCAAAACGGACTGGAAATAATTTTACCTATTCTCACAAAATTGTATAGAGCTAGTCTGGCGTGAAACTATATACCGCCCAGTTGGTTGGCAGCAAGGGTGGTATATATACTTGAAGTGGGTCGATACGACCACTCTTAATCGGTACGACCAATCAGCCTTACATCCTTCCTGCTGAAAGGACTTGAGAGGATACTGGACGGGCATATCAGGAGGGTAGCATTATATGCATCCCCACTGAATAACCACCAGTATGCTTATCAAATCGGCAAATCGACAGATTCAGCATTAAACAACCTCGTTGAGAAAATCTTCCAATCCCTTGACAACAAGGAGATTGCGGTTGCTGTATTTCTTGATATTGAAGGAGCATTTGACAATGCACTACCTTAATCTATAGGATTGTCTCTGGCTAGAAAGGGTATAGAATCGAACATATCTGGTTGGATCTATGCCATGCTAGTAAACAGAACTGCAACTACGACTCTTCAAGGCGAGGCTATCAGGTTCAGGGTCACCAGGGGATGCCCTCAAAGTGGGGTACTATCTCCCCTTCTGTGGTCGCTCCTGGTGGATAGTCTGCTTGATGCCCTCGACAGAAGAAAAGTTGATCTGCAAGCTTATGCAGATGCCCTTGTCATCCTGGCAAAGTCCACGTCGGGAAGGGTAGCTTGTAATATCCTCCAAAGCGCGTTGGACGTTGTTCACAGTTGGTGCCTGAAGGAGCAGGAAGGATTTCTGGTAAAACTTAGGGTTTAGGTCCCAAACAAATCCATTGGATTTATGTGATCATTGTCAGACCAATGATCACGTATGGTGCAATTGCTTGGTGGCCGAAGGCTTTATAGAAAACGGCCCACTGCAGAGTGCAACAGACTTGGTTGACATTGGAAGTCACAGCATTCTGGAAATGACATCTGACTGTCAACTACGAACTGCCTTATAAAGTACTATTCCCGAGTAGAGAGGACTGGATCCTGCGGGAGAAGGAAATATTAAAAGCAGATAGTTGTTGGTTCACAGATGTATGAAAAACACCTGCTGGTTCTGGTGCAGGTGTTTTCGGTCGCAGATCTAGGACAGAGTTATCTACTTGCCTAGGAACTTATGCGACTGAATTTCAAGCGAAAATTCACTCTATTGAATTGTGTGCGGAGAGATTGGATAAATTCAACCTCACTCACAAGTCAATAAAAATATTCTCGGACAGTCAAGCTACGTTGGAAGCTCTTGGCTCCCACCGTGCAACGTCTAAATTGGTAGCAAACTGCCAAAAGACTCTCCTCGATAGTAAGACTTAACAGATTGTCTCTGGTCTGGATTCCCGGCCATACTGGCCTGGAAGGCAATGAAGCTGCTGACTCTCTTGCAAAGGAGGGTGCTGCAAGCGGCTTCATTGGACCAGAACCTGTCATTGGCATCGCTTTGGGCTTTGCCAAACAATCACTCAACACTTGGATGGCAAGAAAAGTTATGGACTTCTGGCAGAATCTTCCTGGATTGGCTAACTTCAAGGCGTTTATTCACCCTTCGAAGCTTGATTCCAAACAGTTGTATGACTACAGTAGGGTTGAACTACGATGACTAACAGGCCTTCCTACAGGTCACTAGTAGGAGATTTGAGCCGGTTCTAGGCCTCCCCCACCACTATGACGTTACGTGGGGTGAATTACCCCCCTCACCACTCTGACGTCACGTGGGGTGAATGACCTAGACCAACTCATGCCTCCCCCACCACTATGACGTCATTAACGACGTAATGGTGTAATTAGGGTGACCTTGAACGACATGCCCGACTCATGTCTTCTCCACCACTAGGACGACATTAATGACGTAACGGTGTAATTAGGGTGACCTTGAGGGTTGGTGTATGTATGTGTGTGTGAATGCACGGTACAGGGTTTATCATGTACGTGTCTGTGTACAAACATACGTCTGCATACTTCAAAGATCCTCCAAGTAATGAATGTTCCATCGGTGTGAGCCCACCAAGTTAGTAGTGGTGTGACGTCACAGCAGCAGCAACCGTTCAATGGCAGGAGAGCGAGATGTGCACTCCACGGCGTGTGGCTGTGTAATGCATATTCATCAGTGTGTCCTTACCTCTGTCGATGCCGTCCCCCACCACTTGACACCCCCACACTTCAACCCCCACCACTGGACACCCCCACCACTGGACCATGATCTCACATGACGTCACGTAAGGTGAATGACCTAGACCGACTCATGCCTCCCCCCCACTATGACGTCATTAACGACGTAATGGTGTAATTAGGGTGACCTTGAACAACATGTCCGACTCATGCCTCCCCCCACCACTATGACGTCACGTGGGGTGAATGACCTAGACCGACTTATGCCTCCCCCCACCACTATGACGTCATTAACGACGTAATGGTGTAATTGCATATTCATCGGTCTGCCCTCACCTCTCTCTAGATGCGGCAATGTCTATGACGTAACATATGGCCCTACCATCGCTCTAGATGGTGACGCGCAGGCGGCGAGGACTGTGGTATTTAAGAAGCGGACGAGTGTTGGTTATGTCAGTTTACACCAAGTGAGTTAGTGATAACATATCATAGAAAATGTATTCTTGTGACTGAGGTAAATCTTTTACTAGTAGTGATAACCTTCGTCATCATCAGCTCCAGAGTTGCCAAGGAGTTCCATAAGTGAAACGAGTGAGATTAGATGACATTGCAACACCTATGTACACATGTAATTGTTATAACTTGACGATTCCATTGACTCAAGTGAATTCTCACAATAGAAGTCTGCAAAATAAGAATAATGCATGTGTACAATTGAGTGATGGTGTTCAAATTATAAAGAGTGCCTTCAAGCGTCGGATTGCTACATACAGGGTGCAGAGTTCCATTGTTTCCACCGATTACATGTTATTCTTTAATGAAA